TATAATAAAGTGAATGAAGAAATGCTCATCATGTATGCCTTTACAGGTTTGGAGAACATTCACCATGATGTTCAGAGACTGGGATAGATGTGGAGATATATTAAGAGCAATTGCTGTGGTATACCCCCCAAAAAATATTTTGCTGCCTCAGATTGGTACATCAAATCATACATTCCTGTTTGCCTTATACATAAAATTGACTAAATTATTTTGGTTAATGAAGGTAGAAAATCCCACAAGATCCTCTCCCCATCTTGTGCAGTAAAAATAAAATGACAGTAAAGTAAATCACAAACAATTTCCTGCCCTGGATCTTCTGCCTTAGGCAGTGTCATCACTTTCTTTTAAATAAAGGATGAATCCCATATTGTAGTAGTTATTTTATAACTCACAACAAAGAGCAAAAAGAAGTGAGAAGAGTAGGTGCTTCTGGGAAATAACCAAATGTAGTCTGAAATGTATGCAAGTATGCACACAGAAGAACCCTTCCTGCAGGAGTACGTCAGATATCTGTGAAATTAATTGCCATTAATGTATGCAAGTATGCACACAGAAGAACCTTTCCTGCAGGAGTACGTCAGGTGTCTGTGAAATTAATTGCCATTAAGTATGTAGCCACCATTCCAACACAGATTAATTTCGTATGTTGGGGCACCACTGTACATATCTGTGACATTCACCTCTTTGTGCTCCAGTCGTGTTTTCCTTTCACTGCCACCAGTGGATTACCTCAATCCACAAAATAAATGACATTTGATCAGATACTTTTATTGTGAATGCAAACAAACTTATTTATTAAAGTGAAACCAATTTATTAATCATAGAGGTTCTTCAGATGTACATACTATTCTCTTGCCATATAATTTCCAACTTCTCTATTTATCTTAACCAATCTCTAACTCTATATTTATTGATTGATTGATTGATTGATTGATTGATTGATTGATTGATTGATTGATAGATTTGATTTGATTTGATTTGATTTGATTTGATTTGATTTATACCCCACCCATCTGGCCTGTAAGACCACTCTAGGCCGCTATATATTTTATTTAGGAGCAAATCTATTCAAAAGTAGACTTCCAGCATTGCCGTCATTCTTGTCTCACCTCTTTTGATCTTTCTGGATCTTATTTTCCCTAGCTTTGGTTCAGAGTTGGTGCTCTGTCATAAGGAAGGTTTGTCTCACTGAGTTCCCCCTAAAAGTCAAGATCTGGCCTGTAAGACCACTCTAGGCCGCTATATATTTTATTTAGGAGCAAATCTATTCAAAAGTAGACTTCCAGCATTGCCGTCATTCTTGTCTCACCTCTTTTGATCTTTCTGGATCTTATTTTCCCTAGCTTTGGTTCAGAGTTGGTGCTCTGTCATAAGGAAGGTTTGTCTCACTGAGTTCCCCCTAAAAGTCAAGATTTCTGTTTTGAACTGGAAGGTATTTGAGTAGTCTACAGCCTATCAAAACCCTCTTCTCCTTTATGTGGGGCTACCTGTATCACACACTTAATAGCCATTCCCTGCCCCAAAAAGGGGGGTGGGGAAGAAAAAAAGAAAGAGTCTGATAGTTTTACCTTTTCATTATCTTAATTTATCTATAATTCTCAGGATAGTTGCAATAGAGGTATGATTAAAACTACACCGGGGAAAATTTGACATAAGCCCACAAATATCTTATCACAGACTTGGATATGTATTGCTGTTCATAGTTTATAAATTATGGATAAAGCATTGTAGTTTAGGATGCCGTAGGCCACCTTGGGTCCTTTTAAGGAGAAAGGGGTACTTTTTGGCATCATGATGCATTTTAGACTTCGGAAAAATCATCACACATCCCCAGCTCTACAATCATCTGTACCTCAACAACAACAAGAAGAAGACAGATCAACCTGTAATTTAAAATTAAACATAAATGCAAAAACTTAATAGAAATTGTAAGGATAAATTATCTGGGTCCAGTGACTTATTGATCTGCAATTTATCAATTAGGTCTAAAACATCCTCTCTTTTAACCTGTATCTGATTTAATTCACTAATCAGGAGGGGCAGTTCGGGCAGTGGAATCTGCCCAAGGTCTTCTGTCATGAGAACAGATGCAAAGAACTCAATTTCTCTTCAACCTCCAAGTCCCCCTTTCCCTTTCGCTCACCATCCAGAGGGCCAGCCACTTCTCTGGCAGGTTTCCTGCTTCTAACATATTTATAGAAGTTTTTATTATTCCCCTTTATATTGCTGGCCATAAGTCTTTATTTGACTTCCATATCATCTTACATTTCTTTTGCCAGAGTTTGTGTTCCTTTTTATTTTCCTCATTTGGGAAGGATTTCTGTTTATGGAATGACCCCTCCTTGCCGTTTAAAACTTCTCTAACTCTGCTCGGTAACCATGCTGGCATCCTCTTGGACTTAGTTGAGCCCTTCTTTCTTTATGGTATACACTTTCGCTGGGCGTCTACTACTGCTGTTTTAAACAGGCTCCATGCCCTTTGGAAATCAAGGATTTTTGTGTCAGATTTGCTTGACACTCTCCCCCCCCCCCAACATGTATGACAAGGCTGCAGCATGGTCACTATTCCCTAGCAGCTCAGTGACATTCATATCCCTAAACCAGGTCCTGAGTACCGCACAATATTAAATCCAGAGTCTAACCTGTCCTCCCGTGGGCTCCATGACAAGTTGCTCCAATAAGTTGTGGCAACCCTGATTGCACTCATGGTGTACCTATGCAAAATATTATAACTATTTAGGAGAATCATTAGAAACCAGCCCTGAGCCCTGAAGCGAAGATCTGCCTGAATGTAACGGATGCTGTAACTTGACAGCATTTTAGGAGCTCAGAGCTTTCCTTGACAAGTTAGTAAAGTTCATCTCTGAGGCAGGTTTGACATGAAGCTCTGCCCGCCTGCCTTTCCCTTTATGCCAGCCCTGAAGGGTGGGGGGAGGGGGGGAGAGAAAGGAGGTAGCTCTTTATAAATAGCTCTGTTCCTGTTGTATGTGTAAATCCAGCGCTTTTCGTGCTAATGACATCATCCTCTTCCCCATGGCAACTTCCTACGAGGTCATCATCACCAGGCAACATTGGGAAATTTTAATGCTCTAAAATCAACCAGGTTGATTCGTGATTTAATTGAGAAATAAGGCAGCGGAGGGGGACAGGATGTGCGAACAACTGCCGATGATGGGCTGCTGTCAGTTATGGAAAGGCTAGCTCTATTTTTATACTTTTTAGAAATTCTCTGCCCCCCATCACTGCACTCCCCCTCGCTCTCCCCATGTGTGTTTTTAATAATTACCCTTGTCAAAATGAGAGAGTGGGTGGGCATCAGCATTCACTTCAGCCTGCCTGGAGAGAAGAGGCACCGGTGATTAAGCAGAAGGCTCAAGAATGATTCACACTTTTCTTTCTTTCTTTCTTTCTTTCTTTCTTTCTTTCTTTCTTTCTTTCTTTCTTTCTTTCTTTCTTTCTTTCTTTCACCTGTAGTTTCACAAACACACACACACGCCACATACCTGACACCCTACTAAGGAGCAGCCTTTTAAAAAAATTTTTATCTCAAGTGTTCCCTAAAATATCCCCGCGCTGAAAACATTTAAGGAAAATGTAGCGGCAAGAGCCATTCTCCTTTCCCGGGAGCGGACGTTGACCACCATTTTTCTCTTTTCAGTAGTGGCTGGTACCCGGAAGGGGTGATGGAACGGAAGGCAGAGGAGATAATCGGTGGGGATTGGGTGCCAGATATGTTTCTGTCAAAAGGCCGAGGGATTTTGATTACTAAAGTCTTAGAAAAATAACTTTTGCAAAAGTCTTAGAAAAGTAACTTTCCCAAACTTTGAAAAAGGGTCAGTTTCCGATACTTTGATGCAGGCGATCCACATACTGTATGTATTTCGAAGGCAGCTCTGCTGCCCAGAATGATTGTGAAAGAGTTGCGTAAAATTTATCTCCACCACATAATTATTTAGTGACAAAACAGACGCGCTATCGGCCTCGCCCGGAAGAATTGTACTCCCCGCGGAAAAACGTTCCGCAGCATTTAACCGCGACAAAGGCACTTCTTATGGTTGGGGAGGATATTCACACCAGCCAAGGGAGCCCACAGAGTTTTTGCCCACACCAGGCAAACGTTTTGAGGAGCGTTTGCCTCTCCGATAGGCAAAGCAGATACCCTGATAATTTAAACTCCTAGTCACCTTGATTGAGTTGACTCGACCCTTTGTCACTGGGTGTATGTATGTGCAACTCTGCCAGTAACCTTGTCGGTTCCAGATTATGACCTCTCCCACCGTCAGAAGTAGCCCCTTCTGAAACAGTAAGTGCTTCTGAAACACCCGACTTTGGATCACATCTCATCCCTCTCTGCTGAAGAACTGGAGATACGCTAAAGATTACAGTAAGTGCTTCTGAAACACCCAACTTTGGATCACATGTCATCCCTCTCTGCTGTAATAATAACTATGTGCAGTCAAGTCAATTCTGACTTTCCAGGGTTTTCCAGGTGGAGTGTAGTCAGAAGTGGTTTACCATTCCTTTCTTCTGGGGATATCCTAGGACTGTGCAGCTCGCCCAAGGCCACACAGGCTAGCTCTACTCACAGGAGGCACAGTGGGGAATCGAGCTCCCAACGGCTGCCTCCACCTGTAGACTGCAAATAAAACAAGGGGTTGGTTTGCCTCCCGAGAGAACGTACAGCCTGTATAGCTCTTGGCAAGCTGCACGGTCCTAGAAGTGCCCCCAGAAGATGCCCCTCCTGCGGCCTTTAGACTTGGGAAACCCCATGAAGGGCGGCTATTAAGTCGACTCGAGGGCAGGCAACCCTTGCTGGTGCTTTACCGGCGTGGTGGTGGGCGAGAGGGTTTCTTCATAACATAGTGCATAAGGGTGAGGAAATGTATCTGGCCCCTGTAGTGAGAGATCTGAAACGGGTGACGCTGACAGACTCAACCCTTCCCTTAATAATAAGGCACTTCGTTATAATTTTTTTTTTAAAAAAAAATTTAGTTTCCCAACAAGTGCCAAGGCGAGGGGGGCGTCTGGCATTTTCTTGCGCTCTTTCCTCCCCGGCAGCCGACAAGTTGGCACAAGGGCCGCGCCGGGTGAGGAAGCAGCTGCCAGGGAGAGGCTATGTCGGCGCGCATGTGTTCTCCCTTTCTCTGTGGGTATGTGTACGTAAGGCTGAACCAGGATCTTTCTGAGGCTCCAGAGACAACATTGCGGGGGAATTTTTGCCCGAAGCAAGGGATGTTTCCTCCTCCTCCTCTTCAGACAAGCAGCAGCCTGCCGTCAGAGAGGCAGTGGGGACTGCGCGGGATCTTCCGAAGGGGGAACGGCTCGCAAGGGCGCGCCTTCAAGGTAGGAAGGCGCTCGCTCGCGGAGGAGGTGCGCTGAGGAGATTTTAGACGCCGGACTTTAGTGGCCTTCGGTCATTGTGTGTGAGAGAGGGAGGGGGGGAAGGCATGTTAATTCTTGATGTTAAAGTATGCTACTTTACTTACTCCAAAATGGGGTAAGCGCAATCTTGTCCTTTGCGCTGCCCGCCCCTCTCTCCCCGGCCATTACTGCTGTGAGGGGCATGGGCTCAACGCCGCCAAGTCCTGCACTGAGAGCGCCACTCTTTTTGCTCCTCATGTTTTGAGTGGAACTTGTCCTCCATTTAACGAGGGCACCTGAAGAAATGCGTTGGAAATGAAAAGTGGGAAAGTTCAGGCAGGAGAGTTGTTCGCGCGACTACCGTGCGCCCCTTTCCGAGGCGAAGCCTTTTTAAACCGACCAATGGGAGCCATTACCACCATCGCTGCCGCCACCCCAAATCAGCCCAGGGTGAGTGGAAGGAAGAGGGCAGGTCTTTAATCCCACAAAGCCTGACCCTAGCTGGACCGGACCCCGAGGGACGTGATCGGATTGGCTCATTCATACGCTGACCGCAAATGCTTAGGAAGCTACAGTACTTTGATAAAGAGTGGGGAAACTGAGATTCAAAAATGTCAGGAACCCAACATAGCAACCTGTACGATTTGTAAAGGGGGGGGGCTGCTGTATATTTCTATTGAAGCAGCAAATGGAGCAGGCGCTGCTAGTCGCCCGAAATGTGAAAGGAAGATCGTCCCCAAAGAATCATTTTTGAACTCGATGCTTGGTGAAACTGTGGTTCGGTTTTATACAGAAACAACGGAATGGAAACCTGGAGCAAGTCACCTAAATAGATTCCTTTAGGCTATTTGGGAATATGAACTTTCACCACCAGGGTGTAAGGAATATTATAGAAGGTGCTACTTTTGGTATTCCATTTCTGGGTGCCTATCATATAAAAATTGTACTTTGTGTATGTGTGTGAGTATTTTCCAAATAACTGAAATCAATCAGAAATGTCCCTAAATTGGCCAAGCAGTAAAATAAGCTGCTGAGAATGCACTGTAGCTTAATATATATTTTATGCAATTATGCTACATCAATAATGTTCCTGTTAATTAATGTCTCAGCTATTAGAATATACTGTATGTGTTTACGGCTCTCTGTAAAATAGATCAGAGATAAAACTAGCTTTGGATCCTTCTTTCTCAGTTTACTTGCTCTTTGGACTTACTTGTACAACTTGCCAGTTCTTTAAAATGCATCAATTTTTTACTTTATCACAAGTATGGAAAAGGTGTTCTTTCATGCATAAGATTACTCATAGGCAGGAAAACTGGGAAACTGGCCTGTTCAGTGCATATCCTGTCGCATATAATGCTACCTACCTAATCTTCCATATACTTATCTACTTCCAGGTTTTGATATAACAATTGTAAAGCAAAACAAACAAACAAACAAAAAAACCCTGCTGCTTATATACTGCCCCATAGTGCTTCAAGCACTCTCTGGGCGGTTTACAAGTTAATTATGCAGGCTACACATTGCCCTGTTTGGCTTGCAGAACAATCTGTTAGGATCTAGACAGAAATAATAGAACCATTTCCTTTTTCTTCTTCACACCCTGAATTATGGAATCTGAAGTTGATGGTTGGGCAGTTACACCAACTGGCATCTCTTGTCAATCCAACGATTCGTATACTATGTACACTGTCTTAAAGGAAAAAAAGAGGGTAAAGAGCAGCAGAAGTTCTCTCTCTCTCATATGAACTTCTGCTGCTCTTTACCTTGTTCCATAACATGGAGGAAAAAAAATAAGGTCAAGGGTAGCAAGAGTTCTCTCTGTCTCTCTCTCTCTCATATAAACTCTTGCTTTCCTTGACCTTGTTTTTTTCCATGTTATATTTTCTTGAGATAAAAGAGTTATGCTTATTTCCCTACTTGAAGTATGAGAGGATAGACTGTGCAAACATGTATGTAATGCATCTTTACTAGTTGTCATTTTGGTCGGATGAGGTTCAAAAAGATGGATAGTGAACAGGAGGAGCATTTACTGATGCTAGAAGCAAGGGTCATGATATTTGGTTTATAATGGGATGAACAAGTAGAATTTCCTGTGTTCATGAAAACATTAGCTGTGGAGCTCAGTGCCTGTGCGCTCTCTCTCTCTCTCTCTCTCTCTCTCTCTGTGTGTGTGTGTGTGAGAGAGAGAGAGATATGTAATGCACTTCTCTTAATGCTGAACATCATGCAAAAGTCCTCTTGTACAAATGTCAAAGTAGTAGAGAATACCAGTGGAAGGTGCTTTGGAAAGTCTTCACCTATATTCTTTTAAAGATTTTGCACATTGTACAGTATTAGTTATAACCCATCTAGGCTACATATATTACTACTATAATATTATCTACTTGATCTGATCCAATTAGGTTCATAACTGGAAACACCTTGGTACATTTTTTCTCTGACAGCTGTAAGAAATAAATCCAGGAGACATAAAACAAAAAAAGATGCCTAGGGTTGTTTTAAACAACTGGAAAATAACAATAACAGAGCAGGAAAGAGAAGTATAGTTTTATTTCTACCCCTCAACACAATTGTGTGAAAGCAATCTCCATAAATTTTCAATCAGCCTTTATTTCCAGTAAATATACTCTGCCCACAGGTGCAAATGATAATTGGACACAATGGCAAATTCATGATTAGAAGGAATAAGCCAGGGATAGGGAAAATTTAGCTCTCTAGGTTTGTTCTGGCATTCTACTCCCAGATGTCAGGGACAGTAGGACGAGTGTTAAGATGTTGTGGAAGCTGCAATACAAAGCATATGATGGCCAGTTTCCTATCCTTTGCACAGGGAATAATACAAAGCAGCCTTCTACAACCTTCCAGATGTTCTGGACTACAGTTCTCAGCTAATATGGCCAATAATAGTGGGGGAGCATGGAAGTCAAAGGCAGTTCTGTGTGGTATTCAGCTGAAGAAGGATGGTCTAAGGTCACAGAGAATAAGGACAAGCAACTGCCATGTGAACAGTAGTGAGATCACAGGCCCTTGTACTTTTATTGAAGTACAATAAAAGTTTGGAATGGGAAACTTGGAGAGGGGCAGCTTGTTATGGGACAGGAAGATACACCTATTGAACTTCCTGATTTGTGGCATAAGCAGCCCTCTTGTCTTCCTTTAGCAGAGTTATTGGCAAAGATCAAAGAGACAGCAGTAAAATGTTAAAGGAGCAATAGCACTGGGTTAGTACACACACGATAAACTACCTCTTGCCATTTTTCTTTCATTCCAGTGATTTCTATGATTTATTTTACTAATGTTGTACGGGGGAGGGAGTGGAATTACCTGAGAGAAGTGCAAGAGAAAACAGTATTTATATTCCTTGAGGGATTCTATGGAAAAAAAAAGAGGTGCTCTTAATTAATAGTGATAATTGCACTTGGTTAAAGAGAAAAGTGAAAACGCCTTTTGAATCAGTCATGCTAAACAGTACATTTCAGAGGGTTATGTGAAACAGTTATTTAAAGTAACAAAACATTAACCCTCTTGTGTAGCTGTGTAACTTTCAGAGGCAAACTGCCACAATGTAAGAAATAACTGTAGACATTTTCATTTGCATGCTGAGTCACACAATCAATACTGTATGCAACTGACAATGTTTGTAGACATTTTCATTTGCATGCTGAGTCATACAATCAATATGCAACTGACAATGTTTACGATGATTTATTAACTTGGGGCAATTTGCCTCCAAAACCTATGCTGTTTGCACAGACTATCATACTGTGGTAGCACTGTACAGCAAACATTCACAATAGTAAATTCAAATGTAGTGGAAACTGGAACTCACTCAGTTAAATTCTGTTAATTTCAAATTTATTGTGGTTTCTAGTAACTTCCCATTGAAGTAATGGAAGTCTGTACAAAGGGCTGTAGCAAAGACAGGTTGACACTGGCTGAAATCCTGTTGTGCAGCTACCATGTTATATTAATTTTTGCTCCAAAAACACATTAGGGCTTATTTTCAGGGGATGTTTTAATTTTTTTATGTACAACAATCTACATTTATTCATCTTCTTCTGATTGCTGCACAATGGTGGAGGGCAGGGTTTCACTTAACTGAGGGTTATTTTGGGTGTAGGGCTTATATTACGAGCATCCTGAAAAATCATATTACGGCTTATTTTCAGGTTAGGTCTTATTTTTGGGGAAACAGAGTATATATATGAACAACAATGTCAGTTGAATATAAATGTTGTGAACCACACAAATGCGACATGAACCATGTGATCAATGGCAAAATGCTAGCTACCTGGATGGAAGGCTGTGGTTGGGTTCATGTTCTGAATCGAGCAGTTCCTCTTCTTTAACGTGATTAACCACAGGAGACGAAATATCATTAACTGAACGTTTAATTTCTTTAGGAGGGGATGGGTGTGTTACAACTTCTGTCGGTCCAACGAGACCATCAACCATAGGTGATCCGGTCCACATCTTAGGCAGTCCTGTCCACATCACATTGTCTTTTAGCACCGGGACATCCCAAACCTCTCCCGATCTGTTGGCTTTCTCAGGGGGTTGTTCCTTACCATACAAATCATCCTGCAACACGGGTGGTGTGCCCAATCTCCCTCGTGTGGTGTCTCCCCAGTAGGGATAGGGTCTGGTCGGACCACTTTCTTCCAAGGACACTTCCCCCTCTGGTAGACATAGACTGTCCATTCCATTGGGTCCAATTCTCCCAGTTGGACCTCTATCCCTCTTATTCCACGTCCGCGTGTATGTCCGCCTTCTCTCTTTCTCCTTCTGCTCTTTTAGGAACTGAGAACACTTAATGGTTCCCCCTCTCTTTCTTGGCCCCAGCTACTCTTTTCTTTCTCCTCTCCTCCTGGAATGATCCACTCATCAGAACCCCAGCTTCTCTCTCTTCTCCCTTTTTTCTCTAACTCCATTGTCGCCATAAAAAAAAAAACTTCCATTACTGGTTGGCCTGTTCCCGC